GAGTCTCTAGGGTATGTACTTGTCTACTTGTCACGGGGTGAGTTGCCCTGGCAAGGTCTACGAGCTGCAACGAAAGACGAAAAGGACGATCTAGTGAAAGAGAAGAAGATCAACATACCGGTGGAATCGATCTGTGAGGGTTTGCCAGAAGAATTTGTCGCGTATATCAAGTATACCAGGTCACTTGCATTCCACGACAAGCCTGACTACGCCCATCTACGCCACTGTTTCCGTCGCTTGTTCAAATCCAGGGGTTTTACCCACGACAACGTGTATGACTGGACCGAGAGACGGTTCTATGAGATGCAGAGGCAAACGCCCGACGTCTCAGAGTCAGCAGAGGATTAATGCCATTAAGGGGGCGGTTGACACGGTGGTGCATTCGGCTCCGTCATTGATGATGCGTCCTCACAGTCGTTATTTTCGAATACTACCGTGAACAAGATGGTGGTTTTTTAAACATAACAGGTCCCCCTTGCCTTGTAGACCAAATATACCTCAATAACCTCGTGTCACCGGTCGTTGCTAGTAGAAAAGAAGATCGAAGGCTTAACGGTCTCGCCTCTCTTGCCTCGCGTCTAGCAGAAGCTTGAAAATGGGCTCATGCCCCAGTTCTGGGGCGATCGACAGCGGTGTACGGCCTGGAGTGTTTATGGAATGTACGTCGACGTTTCCTGATTCCAGTAGAATCTTGACAACAAGCTCGTGTCTCCTTATTATAGCCCACGACAACGGCGTGCGGCCACGTGAATCTCTGGAATCTATTTCGATGTTGCCCAATTGCAACAAAAGCCTTACAATAAGCCCCTACCCCCCTTTTGCGGCCCATGATAGCGGCGTCCGGCCGAGGTTGTCTCTTGAATCAATCTCGATGTTCGGCGATTCTAGTAAAAGCTCCACGATAGGTCTTTGTCCCGTGAACGCGGCCCACGAAAGTGGTGTGCGGCCGAAGATATCTCTGGAATCGATCCCGGTGTTGCCTGTCTCTAGAACCCTTGTGCTGGCTATTTTAAGCTCGCGAATATGGAATCTGACCCTTTTCGGGCTTTGTACTTCTGCAGGGTCTTCGTCAATGGTGAGCCTCCTCTTCGTCCGCCCCGTTCGATCGGACTTAGGTCTGTTTGTTATGGGTGGGTTCACCTCGGCCTCAATCGAAGGAATCTGGTCCAAAACCCATTGCACAAGAATACGATGACGAGCGGCGTCTCTCTTTGCACCCGCGTAGCCGAATGTGGCCCGAGCAATACCCAGTGGCTATTGATTTTTGACAACATCGATCAAGACCATGAACAAGGTGGTGCAACAGGAGCATATGACCCCCGGAGTTATTTCCCTGGAGATCATGGCTCAATCCTGATAACGACACGATTGTTACGTTTGTAGGAGCTGGGTAGCTCAACGCACTTGACCAAAGTTGACCTGGACCAGAGCAAAGCCATTCTGCAGAGAGAAAGCTGAGCTCCAATGTTGATGCGAATCAAGTCGTGTACGCGACGTGTATGAACCCTACATGAAGCTCAAATGTCGTCGCGTTACGCCGTTGGACGCACGCTCCGGACTGCGCGCTGACTCTAGAGCCTCAATGGGGTGTGTGAGTGTCCTGTTCTGATCAGGATGACTGGCTCTCTGTCGTCGAGGTATGAATGAGCGAAGAAATCATTGCCAAGAACCTCCATCTATCAATTCATCAGGGTCTGAGATTATCACGCGCCCTATAACCCCTCATTCCCTTGTCCAGTCGATGGTGTGTGTCTTGCTGGGTACGAGGGGTTGAAGCATCGTGTCGCGGCACATTTGGTTGCGCTAAGATGCGCTCTGGCGCGTTGTTGGTGTCGAGAACTAGGGGTAGTATTCGCGCGACTGGGAGGCGATGTCTGCGAGGCGGAAGGGTGCCTTTTCTCAACCCAATCTTCAATATAGCAATGATTGGCCGTAAGGAGCCATACTCATGAAACGGAAAGGAGAGCAGCCGACTTGTCTAAGGAGGGGCCAATCTCACTAAGACCGCAGGGAAGTGCAGTTGCCTCAGTCCAAATCAGTTCTTTGCGTTAGGCTGTCAAGGATGACTCAAGGCCACCCATAAACTGTTGTTACCGTGCCTATAGCCCGTACAACCCTCCATGTGTCGGAGGAACTGGGAGGTCATATGCTAGGCTTTGGGGAGCACACCAGGACCAACGAAGCTCGCGGGGACAAGGGTAAGGCCGCAAAAGACTCAACGTAAGCATTCTTGGATGGACCAGGCGGTTGGATTATGAAATACCGACGTGAGCAGTTTCTTATCCTACTCGTGGGCAAGAAGTTGAGTTGTTATGCCCTACCTTCTGTGGCTTCATGGCAGGCCACCTTATCTTGTCATACTACAACCGACGCCTTCTGGCATAAGTAAACAAAGGCATGTGGTCTAGACTGGTTGTGAATGCCATGGTCGGATATAAAAGAGAGACGTCTGGCGGTACTGACCCTATGGTCTCCCATCACAAGCGTCTCCCAGTCCTCCACTCCCCACGCTATCAACATCGCCTCCATTCATCATGAGCACCTCACAGCCTACCAGACACTCCGCTGTCAGCGCTGGTATGTTCTTCACCCAAACTTGCTACTCTACAGAAGCTAATTCGGAGAAGACCAGCCCCCAATGGAGCCACCTCCCGCTTACGAACAAGTAGCTCAGACTCAAACTCAAAACCCGCCGCGATCCCGACAAGGGGACGTCAACTCGAAGGGCTGCCTTGTCGATGCGCCTATACCACTTCAATTTGCCTACGCATGCGCTGTATCGCCCGCCCTCCTGGTCTCAGGGTGCTACAGTGAGTTCGAGGACAACTGCCGTAGGTCTCGAGGGCCTTAAGTGAGAGAAAGTCCTAGATTGGCATCATGGCATTATGGGGATGGGATGTATCTGGTTTTAGGAGTCGAAGTCTGACTCTCTTTAACGCAAAGCTCTTATAGCTATGGAGGAAATACCGCCGGTCATTACCTGATAAATACAGTCCTTTCCTTCTGCGATGTTGTTTGCCTGCTCTGTCGTGGCACATTTGATACCTTGAAGCTATTTGATGATGCCCATTCTGCTCTCGATTAACGACCATATACAGGGGAGGGAAGGCATTCTTAATGAGTGCGTTGACTCCGATATATCACCACGGGGCCCCGACAGCGATTCCGACTCCGATGATGCAACGGCAAGTATAGGACAGAAGAGGAAAAGTTCACGGCGTGCTTCCAGCATGAAGAAACGGAAGAGGGTCTTGGCCAAGTCCGAATGGGCCGATGCAGTTCCATCACACAAGAGCAAGCGGTCAGAGGCCCAAAAGGTCAACGAGAACGATGTCTGCGACAAAACCCGTAGATACGCAGAGACACTGCTCAAGATGAAGTCTCTCGACGAGCAGGGTCAGCTTGTCGTTACGCCAAACTGGAACAAGAATGAGACCATGGCGGATCACGTATCTCGCCTTGCGTTGGCGATGTTGAGTAGAGATGCAGTCAAGCAGTTCGTCTTGGAAGACGGCGATCCAACGTACATGTTTCTGGCGCAACGGGGCAAGCAGACAAATGAAACCGGAAAAGGGATTGACTACGATCAGATCTGCAACAGAAACGATCAGTTGCAGTTCGCGAAAAGCTACCAAGCTCTCAGGGATGAAAGACAATTCGACCGACTAGTGCATGTCGATTAGGCACAAAGCAGAGCCGCATACGCAGATCTGATCGTATGCAGAACCCATCGTAAGCTAACCAACTCATGAGACCGGCTACTTGAACAGGTCCGCTTAGTCTAACAGGTAGGTTAGTGAGTTAATAGGCTGCTCGTCCTAACGCCCCAAGGCACCACAGGACCCACTTCGATGCTTCGTTGAAGATTGAACCCAGCCGACCCTGAATCAAACATCAAGCCTTAAGATGCTATTCTTCAACCATCAGCCGCTCGAACGGCAATACCACAGACTGCCAGCGCAGAAATCTGCCTAAGGTCCTTTCACGCCATCATGTGACTTAGCGTACTTGCGTTAATCGACCGAATCCATGCACCACAGTCTGTCTTGCAATTGCAGCCCATCTTCGTGACACATAGCAGTCGTCAGATAGACGCATCCTTATACACGCTATGGCAGTAGGTGWAGGATTAATCCCCGCAGTACTTAACGTATCGCACAAGGTAGAACGTCCAAGAACTCAAGCAATCACCCTTGCACGAAAGCTTGTTTTCATGGAGCGTGATTCAAGAGCCCCATCTAAGCTAATTCAGTGGACTCGGGCCTTCCCGCCATGATCCTGGCTTGGGCATAGCGGTTCTTGGCCGGRAAGTCGYATCRTTTAAAGAGACATAGTGATGGGAGTTGACCCAAATTTTGTTCTCATCACATACCAGCTACGATTGGAGCTAAGGGTAATTAGAAGCCCAGATAAAGACAAC